TTTTTTTTTTTTTTTTTTTTTTTTTTTTTTTTTTTTTGTACCTGGTATCAAATTCAGGACCTTGTGCTTGGGGTCAGGCATGGTGCCACTGAGCTAAAACCCTTCCCTTTCTCATGGCAATTATCCTCTTATAGGAAACAAAAATAACAGTTTTTTACTTTACTTATTGGTATAATTTGGTAAATTATTAAGGATGTGAGCAAGTTTATTATAGCTCAATAAATTTAGGACTATGAACTGTATATAGAGATATAAAACATCACATCGTGATCACTCTTAGTTAATTTTTTCTTCTCCTAATTAGATCTGTATGAGGGCAAGAACAAATTCTTTCCATCACTAAATTATTTCTTTACTGGACACAACTTTGAATTTCTAAATGAACAGTTGAACAAATAAAAGTAAAGGTGAAAGTTATGTGAAAACATTCAGTTTATTTTTATGTATTACTTTTTTAATGTTTCCAAAACCTAAGGATTAATTTCCTTAGAGAGATGTTAAGATATTAATTCCTTATATTGCAATGCTTTGGATTCTAGCTAACAGCAGATTTTTGAGATGTAATGACTAGAAATTCTTTGAACTATATGAAGTCTAAGTAACAAGATTTTTATCAATTTTGAAATCATTTCACATCTCTTTTTGTAGGTTATAGTAGTCTATCAACTTAGAAATAAAATGTTAAACAAAATTTTCTAATCATATCACTTTAGAGACATGAAAGAAAAATGAACATTTGAAATTGAAATTTCCCACAGTACAACTATTTATAAGTGACTCAATCCAAAAGATTATTGAATTTTTTTGTCTTGAGTCTTAAAATGTTTACAGTGCACTCTTGCTTTATTTTTGTCCATAGAAAAAAATAAAAGTTGCACATCTTAAATTTTACCAACTACAGAATTCTAGCTTTAAAATGAAATGCTATAACCATATTACCTATACAGACTGTATTTAATAAGCCACCATAAGGAAATGTAGTCTAAAACTGTTAATGTATTGTTAATGGTCATCTTGAAAATATAGCAAAAATTACACAAAGATCCAAATGTTACATATGAAATGCAAATTTAGATATGCCATTTTATGGGCTGATAGAATTAAACCAATTTTACAATAATTTACCATATAGTATGGATTAAATAAATATATCTCATTTCTAGAAATTTTTGTGTGGGAAATAAATTTACTATATTATTAAATAACTCAAAAAACAATACATTCAATATACTTGGGTGTAGAAGTGGAAGAAATGGACTGCAAAAATATGAAACTATTTCTAACATGCCATGTAAAGAAATTGTAAGACAACTGGATATTTAATACAGATATTTAGGAATTTCAAACCTTTATTTAATTGCTTTTTAATGCCTTCCTTTATTCTTACAAAAATTTATTTTATTTATTCGCAGAAAACACTACTCTGTGGACCACATCCTTGAAGGCTTCCTTTACTTGCTGGTTCCTGAGAGTGTAAATGAAGGGATTCAGCATGGGAGCAACTGAGGTGTTGAGAATAGCTACTCCTTTAGTCAATGATGCCTTCTCTTTAGCAGAAGGATTAGCATACATGAATATGCAGCTTCCATAAGAGATGGAAATGACAATCATGTGAGAGGAGCAGGTGGAGAAAGCCTTTCTTCTCTGATGGGCAGCTGGAATTTTCAAAATAGTTCTGATAATGTACATGTAAGATAGAATGACTAATGCCAAAGTGATTAGCAGAGTAACCAAAGCAAAGTAGAAACCAATTACCTCTAGGAGCTGTGTGTCTGAGTAAGACAGCTGTAACAGGGGAAAATAGTCACATGCAAAGTGATCAATGACATTGGAAGCACAGTAATCCAGCTGGAGAAGAAGCATAAGAGGTGGGAAAATGGTCAAAAATCCACCCAGCCAGGCACACAGCACAAGCAGAATGCACAACTTCCTGCTCATGATAGTTGTGTAATGCAGGGGCTTGCAGATGGCCACATAACGGTCAAAGGACATGGCAGTTAGGATATAAAATTCAGTCACTCCCATGAAGATAAAGAAGAAGAGTTGGGCTGCACAGTTGTTATAAGAAATGGTCTTATCCCTGGTGATAATTGCTCCAAGAAATCTAGGGATACATACAGTTGTAAATGAGATTTCCAAAAAAGAGAAGTTTCGGAGAAAGAAATACATAGGTGTCTGTAGATGAGGGTTCACCAAAGTTAGAGTAATGATACTCAGGTTTCCAGTGATACTTAATATATATGTGATAAATAAAAAGAAAAAAATTACGATCTGAAGGTCAGGATCATCAGAAAGACCGAGGAGGACAAACTCTGTAATCACTGTGTGATTCATCTCTCTATGTCTCTGTCTGTTTCTTTCTTTTTAAAAGATATTAAAAGTAAAAGAAAAATATAGCTCAATATAAACCAGTATCATTCCCTGATATAGTTCTAAAGTGTTTTCCACAAACTGTGACAATTTTATTTTAAATATGTTCTTTTCATTATGTTTTAATACATAACTGTGAAATCCATTTAACACTCCTCTTATTTTAAATCTAGCAGCAGAAATTAAGAAATTTTTATGTGCCAAGCCACATTTGAGAGAGAGAGAATAAAATAATGATTCTTGTTTTATATGCAATTTGTACAAAATGTTTTTGCTGAAAGAATCATATGAAGCATGCACTTTTTTTCATGATGTATATATTAGATACATTAGATAAGCTTACAACCTAAAAACAATAATTAAACATTAATCGCATCAATAATTGAAGGTGAAAATTACACAACTAAGGTAATAAGCCATAATTATTTTATGATATAACAAACCAATTAATCATTTTCCTATCAAATAAATTAAAATTTATATTACAAATTTCATCATCAGTTTTATTTTCAATATTAATATTTTGAATAATTCTCAAAATAATGAGAATATTCAATATATACAGTATTTTTATTTAATATAAGAAAGGAAATATGGAAAGACTGTAGTACATATCAATATTTAGTAAGATAGAGAAACTATTTCATGCAGTATGTTCACTTAATGGCTTACTTATAATTTCATCAGTCTTTAATGTCCTATATACTCTATGATAAGCTAGAAGGTATATAGTATATTGAGACATTTTTATTTTTGAGCTGAAGGGGACATGTAGTGTATATTTATTTTTCTTTTTGTTATGAAGAATAAGTGGGAAAAAGTACTTACCTTAGATTTTTAGCCACTCCTTCAATGGGATTATAGCTCAGGTATGTTTTCAACTTGAACATCATACTTCTTTATTTACCAAGCTTTATGGAAAATGTTTTCTCCACTAGTAATTTTGCCTTATATAATATCGCTCATCCTGCATTCACAAATGTATAGTGCAACATATCTCTTTCATCTTAATGTATGGTTAATTTCCAACTATTCAAACACTGTACTAGAAATACCTGACTACATATGGTTTGCCAAATCTTGACAGAGGTCACCTACGTATTTTAGATTGTCAAATGTCTGCAATGAAGGATAACATATATTCATTTATTGGTTCACCATCAGAAACTAGCAAAGTTCATATTAATCAACTTTTATTTTATTTTTCTTTATTTTGTGACGTTTGGAGGTAACAACTTCAGGAAATAAAAATGGAAGGTCAGGAGCCTTCAAATTATGTATTAATATGTTATTTCCCTGTTCTATATCCTTAGGTTAAGAAAATAATATTCAAAGAAAAGATAGAGAAAGATATGACAACATGGGGTTTATGAATATAGATGCTTAAATTAGGGTCCTGCTCTGTGAGGTTATATTTGTATCTCAAGTATTCCAGATTTTCTTGTTTTGATTCACAAAGATTTGGTCTCCTGAGAAGAGACAAAGTCCAAGCCGCATCTCTGCTGTCCTGTAGACCAAGAGGGATTTCTCAAAGCCATCCTTAGGTATCTCAGCACCTCCTAAATCCTCTCTGTTGTACTACCCCTTGAGAATGGTTACACTCATCTTTGTAATCCACACAGAACCTGCAATGTCATCTTGTACAAAATATTTACTTCCATTAATTGAATATTTAATTATGAATATTTCATAAGTAATAAAATTAATTATAAAATCTACTTTGTCTCAAAACTGAAAATCTTAATCTAATTACTATTTATGCATAATTGTGAAACAAAAATTTTCTACAATACTTTTTTTTTCAATGTTTATCCATACTCTACATTTGGTTTTATAGCATCGGGAAGTAAAACATTATTCTGTAATGCTACAGAATGAATACTATAATGTACACATTCTGTTCACAATTTTTTAAAAATGTTTTATGTAGATTGTTATTTTATTCGCATTAAAAAATGCAATATTTAATTGTCCTGTCATTTTAGCCCATGCTGTTATTCATCTTGGCCTTTATATTTATTTATCCTCTTTTAAAAATTTAATAAGAAATATCATAAAATGATTTTTATTTATATGGCATTCTAAATGGTATTTTATAACCATTCTCTCATGTGATTTTCCTTATATTTTGGTAATAAAATAGATGTAATTTGATTATAATATATTTTATATAAAATTATATAAAGCAATAATACCTATAATCTTGTAATAATTTTAAATGCAAAATGAATGTTATGTATTTTGATAAAATCCAACGTACTTGGTATATAAAGCACAGTGAATTTACATAATCAAATCATTTTTATTTTTCCCAGTGTTATTAAAGTATGATTTTTAAATTATATATATTTAAGGTATAGTAATGCTTTGATATAAGTATATCCTATGCAAGGAATAGTAATATAGTCACTCTTACAGAACTATATCATGGTTGGGATACTTTTTTTTTAAGAATTATTTTACTGCTCTAAAGAGTGCTCAGTAAGCATTTTGGCAGATGTGGCCCCATAACACAGGGAGTGATATCTTGTTCACTTATTTTTTATTGAACAATTTTCTGGAAATAGTAAAAGCGATGTTATATTTTCTTTTTCAATTTTTATTGGTAAGTTTATTGATATATACACATCCACATATTAATTTTTTACATTCTCTTTCCCTCCCTTTTTCCTTCCTCCCTCCATCTCTTAGTCCGCTACCCATTTTTTTGTAGTACAATGATCTTATTTCCTTTATTTATTTTTTTAATTTTTTTCCTCATTGAGTTTATTGGTACATTTTAGGTATACAGTACAGTTACATTCATCATTGGGATCTATTTTCATCACAAAAGCCCAACTCATATGAAGTGTATCACTCAGAAAGGCCAAAGTGCAGCAGCGCCTCCCTGGACACCACTCTCTAGTCTTCTTAACCTGATGAGTTCCTCCAATTGCTGCGCTTAAATTTAGAGATTTATGCACATTTAGGTTTAAAATCAGAATGTTGCTGATGTTGTCTACACTGAAGACCAAAAAAATTCCACCAAAAGACTTCTAGACCTCGACACTTTTGCCAGAGTAGCTGGATACAAGGTCAACACCCAAAAGTCAATAACCTTCTTGTACACAAATAACAGAGTCGCTGAGAGAGAAATTAGGGAAATAATTCTTTTCACAATAGCATCCCCAAAAATGAAGCATCTAGGAATCAATCTAATGAAAGAAGTGAAAAACCTCTACACTGAAAACTACAGCACTCTGAAAAAAGAGACAGAAGAGGATATAAGAGAATGGAAAGACATCCTTTGCTCCTGGGTAGGAAGAATCAACATAGTGAAAATGGCCATACTACTAAAACTGATATACAGACTGAATGCAATGCTGATGGAAATTCCCACACTATATTTCACAGAAACAGAAAAAATAATCCAGAACTTCATTTGGAATCAGAAGAGATCTAGACTATCAAAAGCCATCCTAGGCAACAGAGATATGACAGTGAGTATAACTATCCCCAATTTGAAACTATACTACAAAGCCACTGTGATAGAAACAGTATGATACTGACAAAGAAACAGACCTGAGGATCAGTGGAACAGACGGGAAGATACAAAAACAACTCCAGATGTACTCAGCTTCCCCATCTTTGACAAAGGAGCTGACCATCCTCACTGGAGGAAAGATAGCCTCTTTAATAAATGGTGTTGGAAAAACTGAATTTCAACCTGCCGAAGATTTTTTTTTAAAATCTATGTTAAATATTGGTGTTTCCTTCCTTCTCTATAGGCATATCTTATTTATGTATAACTTATCTTTCCTGATTAATCATTTTAAAATCATATAAATTACATATACAAATTAATATATTTTTAAATCAGTGTATATCCTGGGGGCAACACTATAGTTCTTTTAAAAATATATTGAAATTCATTCAAAATTCTCTCTAAAGATGAGTGTTTTTTTCTTCTCCTCTTGCTGTTACAACTAAGTGTATAATAGATACATGAATTGTTATTTACTATTTTTTGTCATGGTGTCCTTTCTGGTCATTTAATATGCATATATATGTGATTTTACTAAACTTTACCAAATCTCCCACTAGGGTCATCTTGCTTTATACTCTCACATCAATATATTAGTAAGGAAACCTCCAGAGCTTCATTATCAAACAATGCTGTCACATTTTGGTATTTTAGTCAATAATTCAGAGGAAAAAGTGATATATCACTGTAGTTTTAATTTACATTTATCATCTGGTGGATGAGGAAAAAATGTTATTTTATTAAGTATTACTTTTCTATATCATTTAAAACAATACTTGACTATTACTCCCAACCAATTTTCTATTGGTCACTTAAAAAATCCATGTGTAGGGCTAGGGATTTAGCTCAGGGGAGCTGCTGCCTACCTCCCAAGTGCAAGGTCCCAAGTTTTATCCCCAGTACCAAAATTTTTAAAATATCCATCTGTAAAAGCTGTCAACATGGCACAAATTTTTTTTCATTGAGTTTATTGGTACTTTTTAAGTACACAGCACGGTAATGTTCATCATTGGGATCTTGTACTTTTACATGACAGATCTTGGTTCTCATTTTTTCCCATACACCTGCCCTCCCTTCACCCCCTCCACCCTTCCCTCTTTACAAAAACTTTGTTTCCATTTTTTTTCTCATATTTTTTCTTTTCCCTTATTTCCTTTCCCCTACCCTTCCCACTTCCCCCACACCTTTAGCCCTCTTCTTCCTATTTCACATCGTCAGTTATACAATTTAGATCTTATTAACACTTTTGCTTTTTCACACCAGAGAAACTATTTGGTATTTACATGTGTGTCTTATTTATTTCACTTAAGAGTATGGCCTCAATATACATCCATTTTCCTATGAATGATTCTAGTTTGTCATTCTTTATGGCTGAGTATAAAAATTTTGTTTGCAAAAAAGTTGAAAATTATGTTGTCACATAAAATTGTTTTCTTTTACT